TATGCATCCGAGCTTCGTGTGTTATTCACGTCCAATCCAATTGTGTGTTGACGATCGGAGGACAAAGCTCCTGACTCTGGGGTCTAATTTACTTGTTCTTGTAGAGCAACGTACATAGGCTGCACGGTTAGGCGACAGCCCGAACGGATTCGTAAATACAACCCTGAGTGACTGATTATTGAAACGATTCAGGCACTCGCTAATGGTTTCACACGTAGTTGAAACAAACCACACTGAATGTGCTCAAAGCTCTCTGCCCCCTGTAAAATTTTCGTGGATGACTATCTAGGTAGATTCAATATCGGATGCTAGTCACATCAGAAGCGGTGGGTTTTTGTCTGCATAACCCACCTGTGTGCCCCGAAACAATTTTTTCAAGCGGTAAAGTTTCCCTGCTCCACACACCGTATCGAGTCATCTCGATGATCAAATTGTAACATGGAGGACTTAGCTCACCGCTGCCACCGATTCGTAATACACGGCAGGAGGTTGATTTTGGGTAACACGACCCGAGTTCCTGGTGCCAATAGCGCTGTCGGAATGCCACTAACAAAACCCTATTTGGGGTGTGGTACATGCGGCCCAGTACAGACGCTTTCAATGCACGGGTGGGAGACACTTCGGACGACAGGTCCTCCGTGGAAGGGGGATTTCCATACAACCTGCAAAACAGGGAAAATACAAAACAACCATGAACCAAAAGGTCCAGGGAGACATGCACACGACTCACTCTCAATCCAAAATGGTGGCAACGTGCCCAACGTGCCTAACGTTACACGGATGAGTAGACAAACAACTATGTGATCATAGTGAATCCGATTTTCAATCTCATGAAACAATCAGTTCTAGTGTTTTGTAACTCACTTGTGCGTAGTAGTAGGTAACAAAGTTGGTGATTAATTTCAACGACCAAAAATCAACAAGATCACTGAGGGCAGTTTGCTGGGTCTCAAGGAATAACCATCGATTTCTACATTCATTACCCGTTGTGTAGACAGGAACTGCAGTGGTATGCTTCTGATCAGATTTTTGTGTTATATATGCCCAATTGGTGATATCCCATCTGAAATCCTAAATAAACAATTATCCTCGGCCATCACCACCTTCTGGAATTATAACACTAGTAATGTGCAAGTAATTTTATTTTACTCTACATGCCCAAGATACTCCATTCCCAAGTGATTATTCCAAGTGAATATAATGTGACGTATTGGGTTAGATACAAATCACAGAAAATGAGCATTTTCTCCACTCTGTTGTCTTGTTTGAAATCTCACAAGTGTCGCTGAGATGGCCCCGTTCGTTTACGAACCATAGGAAATAATCTTAGGTCACTGAGATTTTGATGTTCTGAAATCCTTCGTGATGATGACCTCATTTTAGAGAGGTGTTTCTAATGTACCAAATTCCTGGTTGCATTGGGGGTTTTTATAGTCAAAGCTGTCCATTTTGTTGTTGCTTGTTAGATCCTATGTCTAACCAGGTTTCGGCTATTCATAAGTTCCACTCTAACCTTTTCTTGGCTAAATTCTGATTGTCATTGAACATGAAACAAGAATTTTGTAGACCTTTGGCTAGATCATTAATGATGATGATGAACAGTGATAAACTTAGTACCGATCGCTGAGGAACACCACTCGTTATTTCCTCGTTACTGCAGCTGTCTTCTATTCCAAATAACATGGTTGGTAATTACTCTCTATGAAGTGAATGTAGATTTACATATTCGCTATCAGTATGATAGGAAAACTTATTCCTCTATATCACATCACATCAGTTGGCGAACAATGTTTTATCGAACGTAAAACATTGCATTGTTAGAAACCACACTAACTTTTGCACGGAAAAAGGTAAAGGTTCTTTCTCCACGGAACAGACAAGAGCCCCGACCACTTAAAGTCCAGAACTGTATCAGTACTGTTATTATTATGGGATTCGAATTAAACAGAGAAATTATACTACATTCCACCTATCTGAGACGTGCCCCCTAGTCCTCGTCCTCTCGTCCGGTAGATCCATCTATCGCTAAGATAGATGGATCTACCGGACGAGTCAGGTCTGTAAGATAGCTTCATGTCCAGTTTACTTTTTTCCGCAGGAATGAACAAGTGCACAAACAACAAAACGAGCTACGGAATTGGGAACTCCATCTTCTAGGTGTGGATAGGATAACGAACTGGGGTTTAATGGAATCGGCAGCTTGGCTGCACGGAAGATTTGAAATGGTGTGTGATAGCCCTTAATGCACAAACTCCACCATGTTGTCACCTTTAACTAGCATCAAGGTGTAAGCAACTATTACCTGAGTTTACTCACTGTGCGAAGAGTTTAAGGGATAAATTCCTATATTTTCACCATAAACCTCATTATTCTCCCCATGTATCTATTTTTGGATACTTAGCACATTCTGTAGTGTAGCAGAGATCATGTTCTTCTTGAAAGTACGTTTAACTCCGTTGATCAAGCAGATTCACGGGAGTTTCTTATTTGTTTAAGTAATATTGAACTGAACGAAAGTGAGCACACTGTGCGTTCCACGTTGTCCTCCAATGTACTAACAGTCCTCGGTCAGATAAACATCCATACGTACCAGCTTATTATCTGCATCTGTTTTGAGTGTGAATTTTGAATTTCAATTAACGGTGTTGAAGAATTTCGTTAAATGCTGCCCGTCATTGTGAAATAGACCGTGGGCAGGATAAAATTAACAAAACAAAAAGAAATGATAAAGAAGTTTTCTTTTACTAGACTTGCTTGAGGGAATATGCATAGTACGTTTCTTGATAGTTGTACATCTGACCGTTTGAATAAATTTTGGATAGTGGGTAGATCAAATCAACAATACAGATGTGGAGTATTAAATGTCAGTAGTCAACTGGTAAAAAAGTACTCGGCAAGCAAAGATTCTTTGGGATTTTTCCATTGCACAGTGCGAATGACAGCAAAAGGGGAAATCTCCCATAGCCAAAATTCATACTGTAAATGGGATATTAGGGGAATATTCACGTAAGATCCTATGGTGAACTCACGCTTCTAGAGCGAAAAGGTGTAAATTGAGAGCAGGTTAGTATGTGTGTGTGGAGGGGGATAGTCATTAACTTGAACTATCGGGGATAAAGAATGTGGNAGAAGTACGACATCTAGCGACCGACATCCGGTAAGGATGAAGGTAAAATCAGAAAAGATATCTTGGAATCTTAAACCTTATTGATGGCGATCGAGCCATTTGAGTCGGTAGCTGATGCGTAAAAACTCATTCGCAACAACCACACGCATCCGCTTATTGATTTCCCCAGGAAATTTGATTTCTCTTTTCCTAAAATGAGAGCAATTAAAAAGAATTTTAAGTGTATGAGGAAAACCCACATTTTGGTAGAATAATATGAATGAACTGCAGTTACTTGCTGGAAACTTTCAAAAATACTATTCAGATGACACATTCTTTAGTGATAGTGCCGGAAGAAAGGGAATTAATTTTATTTCGCTGGACTGTTGGCTTTTGTTGCGGGGTAATAATTATTGGAAGAAATGAGTCTATTAAATCCAAAAGAGTGATTATGGTTAAAAACTCAAATGCGTAACTGCATACATTCCGACCAAATTTTGTGTACTTTCAGATGGACCAGGATGAACATCAGCTATCACTCAACGGAATGTTGTCAGAGCAATCTTGCTCACTAGTCCCACAGACGCAAGAAACAGGATTGGAATACTGGTCAGGGGAAGAAACTGAATGTCAAAAGGAATATTCTCAGCTGAAGTAAGTATCCCGGATCCATGTCTCATCCGATCCCGAAAGGAATGAAATGAAGATATCGGATGAAAGAGTTAGTCAGTTAACGAAAGAAACTGAACGAACCACCGACGAATTGAAACAATGCATTGCAGAGAAAAATATGGCTTCGTTGTATCGCTTACAGAAAAAGCTTTCCAAATTGGAAAAAGAATTGAAACATGAAAGATTAGTGAGTGAACACATACGAAATGCTCTGTACACTGCCAGGCAAGTAAATCAAGTGTAGTTTTTTAACCGCACATCTAAATTATTCTACAGTTATGCGGTTACGATGGAGACATTGGAGAAATCCAAAATGACAAGGATGAGCGATGCGAGCACCCGTCAAGAGCATCCTCTACTTCCTCCAGAAGAGCGATTAGAGCGGGAAAAGAGAATAAATCAACAAATAAAAAGCATTTTACAAACAACTGAGAAGTGGGTTTATTAAAAAACGACAGAATGCTTTGTATTGCTAACTTTAAAGTCAACTGCAAGCAAATAAAAAAACCGAGGAAATGGTCGCTCAGGAACACCGGAAGCTTGTTCAAGAGTGTCGTACAAGGCATAAACCATTCCTGGACAAAACGATCACATGGTTAGTGTCAAATGTGCTTTTGCTCCGATGCGAGTTGAATTGCTCATTCATAGTATTCGACAACAGAAAGAAAAAATGAATCAGAAAAAAGAGGCCAATTTTCAAAAATCTATCCGCTCAGTCAACCGACTGAAGAACGCAATCGATAATGCAAGGGTAACTATTTTGTTATCACATAATTGATTACGCGAACTGATGTGAACTTTTCAATTATGCTAAACACATTTTTGACGCAGATTCCCGCCAGTTCCCGCAAATTGCGTACACTTTGAAAGGCAGACCATCTTTGGTGGAAACTACTATGTGATGGCCGATGAAAAGCATTGAAATCAATAGAAAATATTATTTTGCATTATTTTGCCCATTTTCTCATTTTAATGATAATCGATCATCTAGATCAAGGGCAAGGATCCATGCTTCAAATTCCAAGATGATCAGATACTCTGTCGGGATGCAATAATATCGAGCATGAAAATGTATCTCGACGGGGTGGCAATAGTAATGATTACTGCAAATTTACACATTAAGTTATATATGTGTATATACATCCTAATAAGCTCATGGGATAAAGAGATTAGGATAATGTCCTCCGCTTTATCTATAGCACTCATTTGTGATGACCAGTAGACGGGGTGGACACCATAGTCACCTGATATTCAGTGAAGGAAACCGGTGACCCAAGCCCCAGGACTTGGAGTAGAGAACAGCATAAGGTCCCGGTAGGTTAAGTGTGGCTATGAACTAGACGTCAGAAAAGCTGCTTACCATCAAAGTTGTGTGGAGGTGGTGGGGCTCAAACCTCGGATCATAGGGTCTAAAGCATGCCGGTGACAGTGTATGAACCATTGCGTCACCACCGTCTATACTTTCAGAGGTGAATAACGCATACAATGATAAATTTCCGTTTCATTATTTGTAATCTTGCATCAGTGGTTTGGGGGACTAAAAGATCAGTAGGCTTTCACGTTTAAGTGAACGAAATGACCTTGGGCCGTGAAAGGAACAGGAAATATTTTGACGCATAATAACATCAAGATAATTCAAACGTATCAACTTTTTGATAAGATGGGAAAGATTATCTAACGAAATAGAAGTTAACTGTAGGAATGAAAAAGAAACAACGATATTTAGCTGTAATCTATACAAGAGATTGGGCTAACTACCGGTTTGAAATATCATCTAGCCCTCGTGTAGAAAATGCAAAAGAACATTGTTTTGATCAGGGTACCCAATCACCACAAAATCAACATATTTGTAATGAGTTTGTTGAGAACGAGAAGAGTCTGAAACAGAACTATAGTTTTCGTGGAACTATTGAGGTGCGTGCTGTGTTTTGGTGTATTCATGGTTTATCTTTCTGATCTCTGGCGAATATGTTCTGAAGTAATACGAACGGAACCACGACTATGGAACGGCAGAGTGGGTTTGTTGTTGATTATTCATTCATTCCCGTACACCTATATATCTCAGATGTCTGTGCTGAAATAAATTACTGTACAGGGACTGAAAATCCATGGGCTGTACACCAAACCGATCTTTGATTATCGGTTAGATAGTATACCCGTAGAATAATATCTACAGTTATTATTGGATAATAAATTTTACGTTTGAACTGCCAGTGACTCAGATAACGATGTTTGTTTGTTTAGAAGGGATTAACTGCCTTCCATAATCGCACAATTCATCCCAATACCGTCCGTTTCCTCTAGGACAATATAGCTGTTCAGCGTGCGAGACAGAAAGCCGAGCTTATCAGTATCAAAAATGAAGAGAATGCATTGAGAATGAAGTCGGAACAAGAACTGGATGATCCCGATGTGACGATTGCATTGCACGCTCGAATGGCTCAAATCGAAGCTCATCAAAGGTAAGAAACATGGTTGGGGATTAAATAACATGATTCTCTTTCGGTGTAGCGTTAAATGAGCATCAATTGTAATATCAAGGCATGCTTGCAGGAACATTTCATTCACAATTAGTGCGGTATTACGGTCGAATTTTATCAAAAATAGCTCCTAATGGAGTTAGAAAGATTTGGTGACGGTTTTGACCGATTCGATAGAACTAGATCCGGAAAAATGTTACCAGGGCTTGTTTCCCATGATCACAAACGAATATACTTGATTTGCTTCCAAATTGTGATTTAACTGATTAATTTTTTTATTATCCCATCCAGAGGTTCGGTTAGATTACTGAAAGTTGCACTCTAAAAACCTCTGTGGAGAGCACACTTGTTTCTCCCGCGTGCGAACCTTCTGACGAGTTTTATTTACGTTTCCGGACATGCTGAGTCCTGTTAGCAAACTTATTGAGGATGTAATCCCGATTTGTATATGTTTAACCAGCTTGACCATAAGTAAACTCGTTTAACTCGATTTGTGTTTTACGATACCGACGGTGATAATGTGATGTAAATACTGTAAGGAATTTAAAGTCATTTTGCACCTAGGTTACCGTGCAATGAGCGAGGATACTAAAATGGATCAATTCTGAACCATCTCCTCAACCGTGTTGATGTCCTNTGATGTCCTCCCCAGAATTTTCACGTCACACGTTCAGTGCCAATCCCAAATAACTATGGCTTCTTTTGACAAAAGCTGACGGCGCAGTCATTTGTTGCGAAATCAAACCACGTAAATACATTAGCGTGTTTTCAACACAGAAAAATTGTCTCACAAAGTTTAGGTTATTGGTTTAGTTTGTTCCTCACGATCTCCCATAATCACCATTTTGGAGAACCAGAATAATAATTACGGGTAGGGGGGCACATGAAAACCGCCTACGTCTCTAAACCACAAACTCTCGTTAGTTGATCTCTGGGGATATCTGCGGATCGATTTAATTTACGATGGAGCCTGTAAGCTGAATGCAGATGCCGTTTTACCCTTGAATCAACGGAGCCCACTAGATGAGCTCTATGGCCAAATGGGTAGTTCAGCCTGTATTAATACGCAGAGTATAGGATTGGGCGGAGTGAATGAGCGGGTTTGACTCACGTCCAGGTTCGTGATCTTTCCACGAGTAAACCTCTTCTAAATATCTGTTCAACAAGACAGCAGCAGTGTTTGATACACACTTTATCAAAGTGCAGTAATGAGACTGACCGAGTTATAGATCCTTCCGAAGTCGCTTGTCTCAATAGTAACTTTTCTTGATGTAAGTTAGCAATCCATATGATGAAAGTACATTTGACCGCCTTTCATTTGTTTTCCATTTCGTTGCACAGGGCGTTCAGTCAGGCACAAAATTATCGGCGATTGGAAATTGTGAACAAATTGCTAATGGAGGAACAAAACCAAAAGAAAAAGATTCAAACTTTACCGGAACTGTATGGAAAATCGCGAATACCCCCCATCGAGGTGAAGTTCAATCACTGTTATTTCCTAACAACCCTCCGCTTGATTAGAATCTTGACAAACCTGAACGTATTTCCCATCTAGAACGAAATCTGATCAGTGGCATTTTGGGTCAAACGAGCAATGTGGAGGGTACGGTAAGTGATGTTCACTGCCCGTATCCGGACCGGATCTACATACCGGTTTGAAAATATGAAGCCACTATATCGAGCTATCGTTAACCGACCGATGTTGTCCCAATCATTACAACACAGCATAAACACATCCGTAAAGAAATATCAAGCGTGAGGTGTTTTAGGATGAAAAGTCAGAAAGATCCACAAAAGCAAGCGAACATCAAATGCCTCCAGCGTACTCACCGAAAGACAGAATAGGCGAACTTGATTGGACGAGAATAAAGTCCACCAAATGAACGATCAGCCAATAAAAATCACAATCTTATTGAACCATCGATTTGTTTTTCCCTAAATGGTCGATTTTCTCATACATAAGCTTGTCATATGAGCTAATCAACAAATGACTCGGTCGTTGCGCTGGTGTCGTGTTCTCTCACTCACAACTTGAGATAAGGAAGCCGCTGTCACGAAACCAACGAGATTAGTCAAGGATAGAACAATCTAAGGAATTGCTTTTCATAAACAAATCACGAGTTGTCCTCAGGTGTGTACCGGAAAATTTATAGATTTTTTACTTCAAGATTTGATATTGAGTGAAGCTAACTGTTTATAGTGTGTACGTATTTCATTAAAGTGGTAGTAAGGTACCAAAGCACGTATTATGATAAAAGCATGGAAGCTGTAAAACATAAAACAGACAAGGCAAAAGCAAAGGTAAGAGTGCCGAACGGTTGAGGACCATTTGATTTAGAGCAACAGGTGAATTCAAAGTGTATATCGCAAATAAAGCGTGAACTGAAAAGCTAGGGATCACTTGATATCTGTTTCGACCTGGTTAGGTCTCATCAACAGTGCGAATCTATCGACCTAACTGGGAGTCAAACCCGGGACCTCACAGGTGGAACGCAAGGATACTACCCACTGCTGATGAGATCCAACCAGGTAGAAAAAGCTGTCTATTACTTCCTACCTTTTCAGTTCACTCTTCATTTGCTATCTGCACGTTGAGTTCACCTTTGAAGTTGAGCCAAATCCTCCATTGCTCACAAGAAACACTACTACAGATACTCCAGAATGTGTGTAAACAAGACTCTTGAATGAATGTACGGATTGAGGAAAAGTAATCGCAATTTTCGGAAGGATCCAAGCTGTTATGCATATTAGAATGAACGTGGAATACGAGTAAAACGTTTTTAGAGGCGTTGTCTTCTTGCTGCATCCAACCGGACAACAAAAACTTCAATGGTTCAGAGGTGTGTGTGATGGGCTATTGGCGTTCATCGTGCACGTGGGACCAGCAGCAATGAGTGAGCAATGTGGACCAATTTAAAAGTGAGTTATTGATAACTGAACATCATAGAATGAATCTAGTAAACTGGATCTAAGGTCACCCCAGACGGAACCTGAAAGAAATTGTGCAATATTTTGCGACGAAAAAGGTTTCTGTGTTGAAACACCTGACACTCTGTGATGTAGGACGGGATTGTCCAAAAACGATGACTGTTTGATTGCTGTCATCTATCGCCCTCCGTCATCCACGGAGTCCGCCAATATGACTATTTTGAATACTATGTTACATTTTCCCGCAAAACAATTTACACATGTTCTGCTAATGGATGAGTTCAACTGTCCCGACCTCGGCAAATTGATGTCCACCCATCCTTTATTCAAACAGCACCTCACAAACCTCATTGCCTCACATCCGCTGTACAACCACATGAAACAGCATACCAGATTTAAAAAATTGTAATTACCATCCTTACTGGCTTTAGTGTTGACAAACAAAGAGTTGATGGTAGAATCCGTCACCATTATGACCCCTCTGAGACGTAGTGACCATACTGTGCTGTTTTCCAAATACATTTGTTACGCTTCTGTCAAAGTAATTGACCCAAACAATATTTGCACATTCATGAAGTATGTGAAGTTGCAGAGCTTGACTCCTTCCATTCAATGGATACCTCATAGGGAATAGCACAACCCTTTAGTCGTGTGACAGGAATTTATTGACAGTCTGCAACAACTACCAGTTCCAGTGACGCAGGTAAAAGTTGTTGCCAAACCCAGCAGCCGGAATTCACCTATTAGAAGCCGTACAAAGAAGTGGATATTTCTTAGGGATCTATCTTGGAGAAACCACAAACGACTTACAAATGCATGCACTCGGAACAATTATCGACTGCTGCGAAATCACTGCACCAAGTTGGTGCGCAAAGATAAACGAAACCATAAAGAATCTCTAGCATAGAGATTCATTTCAAACCCCAAGCTTTTGTACAAACATGTTAACTCAGGTCGAAAAGTTGAACGTAGAGTACCAGTGCCCAGTTTTTCTGGAACGGTCACAGTCAGTACAATGGAAGCCGCTGAAATGCAAAAGAACAAGTATGCCCAAGTTTTTCTGAGTCAACTAATGTAGGACTATGCCTCCCTGGCTGGATGCATCAAATTATACATCATTTACTTACCACCGTATGATTCACTACCGAAAAGGTTAAGGCAAAGCTTTGAAGAAGAATTAATCGCCAGGTGCCGACAATATTCACCCCCCCAAACCCTTATCTGCTTGGCGAATCAAATATCCCAGCCACTAGCCTTCCTATTCCAGAGGATGTTCGATCACACTGCAGTCCCACCGTCGTGGACGCCGGGAGTAATTTCACTCATTTACAAAGGTGGTTGCCGTTGCGATCCCTTTAACTATCCCCCCTCCTGTGTGTAGTGTTGTCCAAGGCATTGAGTCCATGGTAGCAGATTCCCTAATGGAAGTGACAGAAGCGTTCCTGCGCTACCAACTTGCTCACCGCACAAGAAGAATGGTCCACAGCAGTTAATAACGACGATGCGGCACACGTTATTTATCCAGACTTCTCAAAAGCGTCCGATTAGGTGAATCACGAGGTTCTACTGCAGAAACTCTATCATTACGGTATTCGGAGACTCAGGTTTGATTGAATCGAAGCATTTCTCCGAAATCGGGCCGTATCGGTTAGTTTCTGATTTGCTTTCCTGTTCTATGGACGTTACCCGCAAGGATCTGTTCTTGGACGGCGAGTTTTCCTAAAATTAATAAACTACCCACCGAAGGCTCTGGGGCCAAGATCATTATTGGTTGCAGATGACGCCACAACTTGGAATTGAGTGACGCAACCAGCGAGCTTGTTGGCACTCCCGGAAACCCTGAAAACAGCTCATATTCGGTCTCTTTTGAACGATAACGAATTCAATGTACCAAAGTGTAAGGTTTTATCTCCACGACACAAGGGGCGACTTAAGTATTTCCTCGGAAATGAACAACTGCCACACGCCTAAAGTGAGCAGGACCTGGGCATCATCGTTCAAGAAAACTTAAGCTGCTCAGTCAACTGCTCCAGAGTGTCCAATGCAGATGTAAAGAATGTCGGTTTCCTTACGCGTGTCTTTGACCGGTTTGAGTCAGCGCTATTCCGCCGTCTGCTATCAGCATACATTCGCCCACTCACAGAGTACGCTATCCAGGCATGGAATCCATGGCTACAACGTGATTGCAAAATACTAGAGCGTTCACAAAGGATAGCCACTAAAATGATTAAGGGATTGAGTCGCTTTTCATACGCAGAGAGACTGGAGTCGTTCAGGTTATATTTCAATCACTATCGGAGCATCAGAGGAGATATGATTATGGTATACAAAATAATGGAAAACCTAAACCATCCGTGTCGCTCGCTGCTAAAATTATCACCCAACGTTCATCTTAGAGGACATCCGTTCAAACTTATGGGATGAGGAAAGCATGAGCTTGTAACGTATTCCCATAATAAAACTTTGAACTTTACTGTATGTGAAATCAGTAAAACAACGTCCTCATTAAACGATCTGTATTGCTCACCACTGAAGTTTCTCCAAGAAAAGCCGATCAAGCGTAAGCAAAACCATTGGTTTCAACCGTTCTGACGTGAACGAGCGATGAACGACAGACTCTATACTGGTCAATTGCAGACAAAGAATCAGGCGGTGACGAACTAGTAGTATTTCTTGTGATTTTTATCAGATTGTCTGCTTGCTGTTAACCACTTTCTTCATTCCCCTCCCCTAAGATATATGTCCACCGCCGACCATTCACCATGCACATTCGTTGGAAGCTATAATCCAAGCTCGCCTCATCTGATTTTGCTGAATAGTAATGAAAATGATATGCTGGAACTGCTAAGCAGAGATTAATTATGAACTTACTACTGGCTCAAAAATTAAGCAAATATACCAACAAATGTGATCATGTTTTAACCTGGAAATAATATTCATTCCTGTCTTGCATTGATCAAGCAACCTTCAACAAGATTTGACTAAAATGACGATGTGAGTCAGTTAATCTTCTGTTTGCGTTTGTTTATTATGATAGAATCAATTTTGGTTCCATTTCCTAAATTATGCGAATTACAAATTGAGGAAATAAGGGTCAAACAGACAAACTTTTCTAACTTTTCTCCAGAAAATTCCCCAAGAAAGCTCAATCTGTCCGAAATCCTCTTTATCGGACGAAAGTGATTCAGAAACTGTCGTTTCTCAAACAACACATGGAATTTGCTTGTCAGAACGCATACAGAAAAAACGCTCCGTTAACAGTGCGGTCATTTCGGATGACGTGGATCAAGTACTTGGTCGATTTAGTACGTTAAATTGATGCAATTTTTCCACAAACTGTGTACAAATCATTTGGTGGATATGATTACGTTTAATCACTTCATCACCGTCATTGCTATGCACACATATTATTCTGATTGCATCGGCCTTCGGCTTCCACTGTGGAATATTGTGAACCGAAACAGTAACAAATATTGAAGGAGAAATTAGCGCAGTTTAGGGTCGAATTCGAATTTCGACCGTGCAAATCGCAGTTGGGCTTATGTCTTACCTTTAACAGAAATTCTGAAAGACAAGGATGAGCCGAATTGATGGATTCAGTTATGGGCAACACTAGGATGATAGTACCATTTGAGCTTATAAACGCGGACAGTTGTACCCTAACAGTTGCATAGTGAATC